TCATTCAACGTACATGATTGTCACAAAACCATTAATCAGTCACTTTTCATCTTGTGTTCTTTGCTTGATTTCTTGGCTTTGAAATAGTTTTCACATGAATATTGTCTAACATGTAAATGTTTGCTTCAAAGCATTAAATCCTTTTTTCTGCGTACAGCAGCTCCAAGAACTCCACTAAAAACCTAACATGTAAATGTTTGCTTCGGAGCATTAAATCCTTTTTTCTGTGTACAGCAGCTCCAAGAACTCCACTAAAAAGTCAAGTACAGGTCTGTATAAGGCTATATTTTTTAAAAGTACTCAAGCATTGGTTTGAAATGGGGCATTGTTTAATCACTTTAAATCAAGGCTTTTAGGACTCCAACTGACTTTAGAACTGGGCCCTAGAAAAGGCACTTGTGCAAGTGCAGAGTGCTGAAAGCATGAAATGAAAAATCAAGAGATAAGTGCTTCAGTGCAGCCACTCCTCATTGGGCCCATTAAGAAATCTTTGATGGAACATTATTTAAAGGTGCAATTTCTAAAAGGACAGTATTTCTTACATGCTGCAGGGAGCACATGTTTCTCACGGTGTAATGACTGAGTGCACAAGCTGGGGATAACTAATCTTATATAGGTACACAGTTTGTATTTTGCAAAAGGGTTTGATGGATTGAACTTGTTGTCTTTAAGAAATCCTGTTTGAGGAAAGATGACCTTTGCTTTTGTCTCATTAGCTCTGAGTTTGTATCCTAAAAGCACAAGGTGACACTATGACAGCACAGTGAGAACCTCCAGAGAGCAGCAGAAGAGACTTTCATGCTCTGTTCCTTATGATTTGTGACTGGTTCCAGCCTTCTTCAGTGATTTGTTAAACCTGAAGAACCCATTTTTGGCTCGTGCATTAAATGCCAAGTCTGGTACATAAGCGTGTGACAAGTTTGAGACTGGAGCCTGTAGCAAAGCAAATGGCTTTCAGGGTAAAAGCCACGAGGGTGCGGTAACCAGTTGTTCAGTGGAATTCGTCAAGTTTTCCATTTTCAATTATAAGCACCCACCTCTGCCTTTCACTTGAAGTGTGAAATTTGCTCATCCGATGAGAGGCTTAGAGCCAAGGGCTGCTGTGTTCTTCCATCTGGTAATGCCCACAGAAGTCAGCGGAGCTGCAGCTCTTTCTGAGTAGCCGGTGTTGAGGGCAGTAAGGCATTGCCCCTCTTCATTTCACACCAGCTTCCCTGGATCCTCGCCAGACTTGGTGAGGTGCTCAGAAGATCCCAGGGTTGGCATCCTCTGCCTGCCCATCCCACCCATGCCAGGTGCACAGAAGCAGAAGTGCTGTTAGTTCTGACATCCTATGGGGAATTAGAGCTTTGTCTGTAGGCATCAAATTAGTTGCCATTAATCTAGGGTTACTTTTATTATTTTTTAATGTGAAGTTTATTGATTTCCATTGCTTATTTTCTTTTGATGTTGCATGGGTAAGTAACGCACTCAATAAATTGCACTGGCAGAGGGATTGTGCTGTTAAAGGGCAGTAGGAGAGCAGTATAGTTTATTTTTTCATTACATTTTATGTCCTGAAACCTGTTGCATATACTGAAATGCATCAACAGCTGTGATACTGTTTTAATTAATTTGAAAACATGGTCGTTTTATGTTCCCTGAACCTCTTTTTTTTTTTTTGCAATCCATCTATTTCCAAATATTAAATGAAGGGTCTTGCTACCTAGGCTTACTTAGTCTGATGATGTATCTTGTTTCCAGGACTGCTTCATTTTCCAGTGGCTGTAAAAGAAATGACAGCATTTGGCACTAATGGGTTGACTAGGTCTGCTCTCATAGTCTGAGAAGCTTTTGGGAAGGATCATGGTGAAAAAGGGAAGTAAAACTCATTACTTCCTGTAGAAGTGTTGACTCTAATTTGTGTCACAAGCTTTACTTTATTTGACTTTTTTGCACATAATTTGTATAGAAACTGTGTAGAAAAGCCTTATACATGAGATAAATGTTATTGTTTCAAGTCATGGAACACTTTTAAATAAATTACTTTCTGAATGAAATCAAGTTTCAGCTAGAGAAGAGTTTATGAAGGGAATGGCTCTGTTAGCTGTATTGTAGGTAAGTACTGATCTGAACACGTGTGCGTATTTATTGGGAAGGGTTTGAGCCTGGGTTCGTTTTCTTGGAAATGTGGTACTGTGCCTTTCTAATGCCTTTATAAGGCCATCATTTCCTGACTGAACATACAGTTCTTATGTATATGTAAACTACTTTAAAAGTTAACCTATAATGTAAAAAAACCTTTCATTTGAGAACATCAGAAGAAACAAAACCTACAGGTCTTCATTTGCTGAATTCAGACTATGATGATGTGGGTTAAGATTTTTGGGGAAAAAAACCCCAACCAAAAGCTATACTTTTCTCATCAAATGAAAATCACAAAGATAATTTTGGGTTTAAAAAGGAAATCAGATTTTATATTTGAAAAAGCAGAGGAAGGTATTTCGCGAGTAACAATCCCAAAGCAGCAGGAAGCTCAAAGGAGAAGAGAAGCCGTTTGGTTCCAGCCCTGCAGACAGGTAGAGAGAGTTCCTCTTCTGCTGTCAGCAGATCCCAACATGTGCAGGGGGTTGTGGAGCACAAGGTGTGGAGGGGGTGACGTACAGCCTGCACATGAGTTACTACAGCTCATCCCCTGCGCTGTTGGGTACCGTTAAACCGGAGCTTGGCAAAGGGAACGTTGGGGAGCAGTTCAGCACTAAGGGGGAGAGGGATGAAAGCCTTGCTTGATCAGAGGATCGCTGGAGTTAGATGTTGGGTTCCGCTGAAGCTGCGTTGTTTCTAGGCCAGCTGGGGATGAGCGCAGCGTAGGTTATTGGTGTCCTGTGGCAGCGCAGGGGTAGAGACACTGTATTTTTATTTTAAAACAAATTTAAGCCTTACATTTTGTGTAGATGTGGTGCTTAGGCACATGGGTTAGTGGGTTAGGTGGTGTTGGGTTGACGGTTGGACTTCATGATCCTTGAGGTCTTTTGCAACCTTCATGATTCTATGATTCTAAGAGTTCCAAGATAATTTGCAGTTTCCAGTCTTACTGGTCCAAGTAGTAGAGCACAGAAATTGCAAAGTTGGAATTTGTAGAGTGTAGTGGAGTTGATGAATGAATTTTAGCCCAGCACAGTAAGATCCCCAGCTGAACAGCAAATTCTATGCACGGAGATGTATGTGTTTATCTTTGTGTTTCCTTTACTGCCAGGGGGATTTTCTCTGCATTGCATTACTATATAGCCCTAATTTTCTGAATATTTACAACTAGCTTTGGGAGAATAAGTTGACACTTTGAGTTCTGGTTTTCTTTAATTTGTTTTCTAGCTTTTTGTTTTGATGGGGAAGGTGGAGGTTGATTTGGATTTGAGGTGGGGATGGGAGATTTTGTTTGGATTTCTTTCTCTCTTTGTACACTGTACTAAATGCTTAGGATGATTGTAAGAATTCAAAGTTGCCGTGATGAAGCCTGTCAAGCCCAAGATCAAGAAAAGCAGCAACAGAATTAAGGTCGGTACTTGGGCAAAATGCAGCATCACTATGCATTCTGTTTGGGTTTCACGTGTGCTGCCTGCCTCCAGCCCTGCACAGCTCACTGCTCCAGCCTGCTCAGTGCCCAAAAGATGTTAGAAAGGTCCACGGTGCTCTGTGCCCTGTAACAGCTGGTGATCGGTCGTTCATGGGGAAAATGGCAAGATGAATCTTTGGAGGGAGGCAGGGGTGATGAGGTGATGGAAGAAAATTCTTTAGCACAAAATAAAGCAGTAATGACTGTCAAGGTCAGTTGTGATCAGTTGAGGAAGAACCCTCCTGAGTTATCAAACACTGAACATCCAAAATCCAAAAGGAGAAATTCACAGCTGTTGATAACACCTCAGTGAGGCTGACTGTCTCTGCGTGCCTGCCACTTTGCATCTGCCAGAGGTCCTGTGGGCACATTAGCAGGAGCCTGTCGAGATGCTGCCCTGCTTGGACCTGCTGAATTATTAGATGCAGTAAGATAATGAAGAAAAAAAATTCCTAAATAAAACTGCCTCTGTGCTGGTGGCAGGCATAAAGATTTCTGAGCTTCTCAAGGTTGTTTTAATTTTATTTACCTCTTAATTAGCTCTAAGCCATGTAAAACTGAAAAAAGATGAAAATAATCCTTTTTTTTTTTTTTTTTTTTTTTGTAAC